AGGAAAAAGCACACTAACAGTAATCACTGTTTTTACTCTGCGAAAGTGAAATCAATATGAAACACAACAATGGGTGTGTTTGTGTGTGTGTGTGTGTGCGTGCGCGCACGGGCGCTGAGGATATTAGCAAAGCTTTGTCATCGACTCAGCAGGGAGAGCACCGGAGCTCCCAAGGTCCCAGACAGATGCCACGACATCCTTGGAAAACATTGCAATAGCTATGGATGCTATTGTGTTGTTTTTAAATGCAGAGCTCTGTCATTGAAAAACAATTCTTGTAACCCACACAGAAAAGAAAATAGAACCTGTACCTAAAAATTAAAGGGTTTGCAGACTGACTACCATCCATAGCAATTTCATCTTGCCAAAAAAATGTGGCACGTGTAAACATTGTTCTCTGATTAAAAACCATTAAAGACATTTTAAATTATGAAAAACCCTCAAAAGAAGATGAGAATAAAGATTAAATCATAAATTATTTGAAAATTTTATGAGGGGATTTTTATTTTTTTCTCCCTCCTCTTCTCATTCTTCTCTGCTCCCCCTTCTCATTGTCCTCTCCTTCCTCCTTTTCCTCCTCCTCTTCTACTTTTCCTTCTCCTCTTCCTGGAATGACTAGGCTAAATGAAGGCTGACTAACTGACTTTCTTCTAAATGCTGGCTTTAGAATGGTACCAGTTGCTGCTGGTGGCACACACATTTAATCCAGCACTCAGTAGGCAGAGGCAGGCAGATCTCTATGAGTTCAAAGCCAGCCTGGTCTACAGAGCAAGTTCCAGAACAGCCAAGGTGACACAGAGAAACCCTGTCTCAAACAACAAAAAACAAAAACAAACAAACAAACAAAAAGGAATGGTACCACTTGACCTCTTTCATGTAGGTGAGTAGATTTTGCACCCTGAGTTGGTGTCTTGTAAATCTACTACCAAAGAAAGCTTAAAATGGATATTAAGTCAGGTATCTATTTGCCCTCTACTTTTAAGTTACAGAATAGGGAGGTAGGTGATGCAGCTGCTAATCACGTGAGACAAGGCAGCTTAACTGAACGGTAGAGGAAAGGATCAGCAGGTTCTGTCTGTAATATTCAGCCTCGGCTGTAGAAATCAGCAGCTGCAGCATTGACGGGACACTTGAGATGCTCTGGCCTGGAGATGCTAGGCATAGCAGGGCTCACACAAGCTGAAGAGGGATTAGGGAAGCAAAAATTCCATGGCTACCATAAAGAAATTTTATCTTTAGTTCCAAAATGACTCAGCACCACTGTTATTGTGATACTATAGCCTATTAATAGCTTTAATCATGATGGCCTTGAGGTGTGGTTCCAGGTTGTTCATGGGCAAATAGTGTTTATGACATCATTTCTGTGTACAGGACTCAATTGGAAAAGCTGAAGACACTTCCCACAATTCCAGCTGTGACTCCAGCAATCAGTGTGCCTCCTATTTAGCCTCCAAGTTTCCACATCACTCTGGGGCTTTCCCAGTGACTTATGCTGGCCCCAGTGGCTTTCCCAGTGACTTCTGCTGGCCCCAATGGCTTCTGCTGGTCCCAGTGACTACCAGTGACTTCTGCTGATCCCAATGACTTTACCAGTGACTTCTGATGATTCCAGTGACTTTCCCAGTGACTTCTGCTGGTCCCAGTGGCTACCAATGACTTCTGTTGATCCCAATGCCTTTCCCAGTGACTTCTGCTGGTCCCAGTGACTTCTGCTGGTCCCATTGTCTTTACTAGTGACTTTTCCTGACAGACAGGAAAGAGGGATGATGACATTCTGATGTGTTGTCTGAGAGCAAGATTCCCAAAGCAGAGTAGGTAAAGCATGCAAAATATATTGCCAAACGAGTTTGTGTTATATGGTATGGTACACACCGACCACACACACACACACACACACACACACACACACACACACACACACCACCCAAATAGCATATGCTTTTGATTCCCGATCATATACCATCTGTTGTATCTCTGAGTAACTTTCTCGGGCAACTGCCTCCACTATGATGATTCAGTAACCCAAGATCTTCAATTCTCCACCCCACATTCATTGTTTAGTTCTCTGCTCTTGGCACAGAAAAAACAAAGAAAGTAGAATTTCTGAGGAGTACCTATTTCACTGTCTTAGGCTAGAAATACTACCTACCACTTATACTCATATTTCTTTGATCAGAATTAGGTAAATAGCTTCAGAAATTGCCAAGGCACAAGGAAGATCGTGCTCTGAATGCCCAGAAAGAAAGATGGGGTATTCCTGGTAGCCGCAATGAAGCCTAGTCTCTCAAAGTACACAAGGACATTTCAAACTGTGCAGAAATACCTGTTCACAATATGTATTTGTTCTAGCACCTACTTGAAAGATTTTAGTATGAGGCAACTCTTTTATTTTATATAAATTTGTTGGCTTTTACTTACCTATGCTGTGATAATAAAAATGGCAAATAAAACATACTCATGTCTAATGTTTAGATAACACCGTGAAAGGAATTTCTATAAACCAAATTTAATTTGTAAAACTTCACCCCATTTGAAAGCCTTGTTATAAATAGAAATTTGTTTTTATTTTTTTAACGAATATTCCACATGATTCACAAGATGGGCAGGAGTACCTACTGGGAAGGATTTTGCTAGAGGCCAGTTTCTCTTCTACTAATGAAATTGGGGGTCCAGCGATTAATGTGTCTACACCAATTGGAAGGACTTGGGACTTCTAGTCTTCTTCATTTATCACCCTCCACCATCACCCCACATTTCCATATTGAGATTGTTTGTGCAGTAAGATTAACATCAATGGGAGATAGAGAGTGGGACATTTGACTTGACAAGAATAACTTTATTACTGGCATTGGTTATCTGTGTTGTTCTATGACGTCTTTCTGTTGTTTAGATTGACACCCTGCAGCATCTCAAATCAAACATGGAATCACCAGATCCTAATGTTTATCCACGAGATCAGAAGTCCACAAAGACACTTTGCTCAGTGCTGATTTTATTTTTTCACCTTCCCTCCAATCCAATATTTTCCAAAGTAAATGTTAATCATTCAAAGTACTGTAATTTTATGACCTAGTATATCTATAATATTCTTGGCTTATATGTAATTACTCAAAAAAAAAATCCACTGCCCAAAATGTCATACTGAAGTGGTAACTTGAACGGCAAACCCACTTCTGAGGTTTGTTCTTAGTTTCTTTTACAATGTGAATGGCCAGTTTAGTTTCAAAGACTATTCCCGAGGAGTATCTGAAAACACTTGGGGGAATCTGAGAGCTTCAAAAGTTCTGGATGCTTAGTTTAACTGTTATTGTTTGTTTGTTTATTTTTGTATCATCTATGTTGAAGGTAAAGGCCCTATAGAGGATCAGAGGGAAACCCAATGGAAACTTGATGAACAAGAGCATGTTTTGTGGTGAACGAGGAACTGGTTACTGTGCTAATCGCTTTGAAATTGTCCTATAGCCACGTTAAGGATGCTATGTAAATCTGAAGAAAACATTTAACATCAATAGTGTTTATTCCCTCACTGACTTTTGTGTCTTAATGAAATGGCTGTGATGGCTAGCATTGCTTCAAGACATGCGAACCCAGGACAACTGCAGTCTTAAGTAGACGTCAGTTGAATAAGTGTATTCATTTCAGTAAAGGGCACAGAGTCTACAGTTACTGTCTTCCCCTAGAACCCTGTCCTTAGATGATGCTGATACAGTTGCTCTCTGTGCTCTGGCTACTTCACTTCTGGAATAAAGAGAAAGAGGATGGTGACGTTACAAGATATCACAATTAGATCTGTAGCTCATCAGCCTGGCTTTTAAAGTACTCAAGTGCCTTAGGAGACCACCCCCTGTTAAAAGTCCCCACATACTTCATGCTGTTTTAGTGTTAAATACTGTTTAGAACTTGTTATCTTTTGTAAACCTTGGAAATCTAATTATTTATAATCTCCAGTGACATTTACATTTTACTAACTACACTCTGCTTGCATAAGAACATATCATCCTCTAAATATGGGTAAAGAACGCCTGGTTGTATTTTTTTGCTTATATGTGATGTAGGATATTGGAACGACCCAAGTTACCTTTCTGTTATAATCACAGAGTTTTAAGCACATAATTTTAAATCCATTGCTGTGCAGGATAAAGAATCGGAGAAAGTCCCCATAGCTGATATCAATTGTTTACCATTTAGCTCTCGGCTGTCAGGGCAAACATCTATCGCAGCTTATGGCTCGCTTGAAATAATGCAATTCATTTCCATGCCAGCAGATCTAATGTTTGGTTTAGTTTTTTTGAAACTGATTGAAAGTAGGTTGAGAAGTTGCCCTACTGTGTTAAGCGTATTTACACAAACAGGGTGTCGTGAAAACAAACTCCAAAAAGTACACAGCACTGAGTTCTAAGGCGCTCACATCCTGCCTTCTCTAATGCCTGTGTCCCACAGACCCACCGGGAAGACACACTCAACTTTACCATGCACCGCACAGAGGAGCAATACCTCAACGTTTAATTTTTTCTTAAATTTGAAGTGAGATTTATTTTTCTCTTTATAAAGAATGAATTGAAGACAAATCCTTTTTTCCATACTAAGCCGTTTATGAAACGAGGGCTCGCGGGGGGGGGGGGCGGCATCCCCCCCACCCCCCACCCAGGCTCTTTAAAAAAAGCACTTTCCTCAGAAGAATCAAACATAGCATTTGTAAGGTGGAAGCAATACAGAAAGCTTGAATTGTGAGCGAGAGTCTGTGGAAAGAGTGAACAAATTAATTTGGCTCCTGGATGGTGGCAGAGGATTTTAAAAAGTGGATTTATTCAGGGATCGCCCTTGGTGAGGGAGCATTTAAAAGTCCTTCCCGAGGCCAAGTCCCAGGCTTTCACATTCTTAAATAATCGGGGTATTATGCAGGTTTTCCTGGCCACGCCCCGCCAGGGTGAGGACCTGTCTCCCGAGCCCGGCGGGCGCGTCACAGCCGCGGAGATGCAGCGGGGCACGTGGGCTGGAGACACTTCCTAGAAACGCGCGCGGGCTCAACCCTGCCTGAACTTTCCTGTAAACAGAGCGCTGACAGGCGGCATCCCCGCTGGGTGGATCCCGCGCTCCTGGCGCAAGTGGCACTTCTTGCTTTTAATTAGCGCGAGGAGAGGCGAAGAAGAGCTAGCTGCTCGGCAAGTCAGTGCAGGAGGCTGACTTCTGGGAGGCTTGGGGGAGGCTGGGGGAAGAGCTGGGGGAGGTTGCCGGTCGGCTCCGGCTGTTTTCTCAATGAATAGCTGGCGGGGAGATTGAAGCCAGTCCCAGCCTCCTCCTCACGCCCGCGGCTGGGTGACGGCGACAGCTCCAGCCGGGACCTGGCTCTTAAGACGCGCTCCTTGGAATGGAATGCCCTCTTGCTCTGCGCTTCTAAACCACCGGTCCCGAGGAGAGGGAGGCTTTGCGGATCCAAATCTGCCCAGGGAATGGTACTTGGGAATGGTGTTTTTCTGATGACAACCCACTCTGTTTGTGACAAAGCCTGTCGCCTGCAGTTGGCCCTGGAGGGAAGTCCTAAGAAGAACTGAGTCGATCCTGCCTTAAAGTGAGGCTGCCGAGGCTACGGGAGAGCCGGCACACACCATGGCACCGGACGGACGCATCCTCACCTTGCTGCTCTGGGGTCACCTGCTGGAGCTCTGGACCCCAGGTCACACCGCGGACCCCGCCTACCCCAGGCTACGCCTGTCACATAAAGGTAAGTTCCCTTTCCGTATCCTTTTGTTAGGAAAATGCCCAAATGGAAAAGCCCCTTAACACAGGTCCATCATCTTCCAAGACCTCAAAAGTGCACCTGAAACCTACTGCAAAACTCACCCAGGATCGGAAGCACCTCGAGTTAACATATCCTACCTCATCTGGTAAAAAGTGTTAAATCACATGCCAACTTGGAGGTGTTATTTCTGCCCTAGAATTATCAGATATTATTCTTGAGAAGTTCACAGAACTGAGAAGGTGGGGCACAGTTGCTAATAGCTGGAAAGGCTGAATCCACCAAGTGAGCAGTAGGTACTGAAATAACACCACTTACATTATGGGAGCTATATGGGACATGCTTTGAAAATAGAAGTACACTTTTTTTTTAATTTGGGTATTTTGTTTGTTTTCTTTATTATGAGATTGAGAGGAGGAGAAAATTCCTGAGGGGGGAAAAATGATACCACCCCCATGTAATAACATGTAATGTTATTACATGTAATGACTAACAACTAATACAAATTAGCCTTCATGCTGAGATGGTTATTTGAATAATGTGATATGTGGCAAAATAAAGCAGCCTATTGGCAATCATGGTAAATTGACTTACATTTTAGTAAGCACTAGTCCTTTCTTCTAAATGTGCATTCGTCTTGTTTTTACTGACGGTCTAGCAGAGTTTGTTTATTTATTTATTTATTTATTTATTTATTTAATTCTGCACTTAGGTCTTACACAGCTACATCATATTCATAAATAAATGATCATAAAGATGATAGGTTTTGCATCAGGACCAGTCAAAATCAATTACGAGTTCTCCTGTCAGCAAGCAAACAAGGGACAAAATCTGTTTTAGGAGGAAGTGATTTTGTTGACTTCAAAGGAATTGGAATAAATTGTTGGGAATGAAGTATTCATTGCCACCACCAGTTAAGACAGAGAACAGATGCAATAATAAGGATTACATAAGAGCCTTTTTTTTCTTTTTTCCAAGCTGAGTAAGCTCTTAAATTGTCTTTCACTATGGAAAGACAGAACCTGTACTTTTGGGTACAAGGTAGAAGCTGGAAATAGCAGGTCTGAGTTTTGTATGACATACATGGTCTTTATGTCTTCTTATTGGACAGCAGAAAATGTATTGGGGATTGTAGAAATTTCTCCTCTTAATACTTAAAACTATGGATATGTTCTTGAATTAGATAATTTTCTTGTTGTATTATGTAGTCAGTACCAAAATGTTTAAAAATATATGAACACTACCTCTGTAAAGTATATGAAATATAGTGTCCTGGATTAGCAAATGGCTTTTGATTTAGGACGTTATATTATGATAGTTATCAAAGTCTCTGCTAGAAGATGTAGCCAAATATATCATGGTGCCAAATGAATGGGAGGGAAGGTGGAAAATGAGGATGCCAGAAACAAACAGTTGATTCTGTTTCTTATAAGTAGTATTTATTTTAGAGCTATTATGAATGTTTTTTTTCTAATTACTTTTTTCTGAGCATAAATTGTTGGTATACATGAAGCTCACTTTTCATATAGATTTTATGAAAAAAAAATAAAATCATAAATTTGCAGGAAAATGAGTGGCCTTGGAAAGCATACCGTTAAGGGAGGTGACCCAAACTCAGGCAGAAAAACACTGTATATCTCCCTGATACGTGGATCCTACCCTATAATGTGTGCTGTGCTTCTGTAAACAGGAGCAAGTGTAACGAACTTAGGTGTAGTATGGCATTTAGACAGCAGACCCAAGGAAGGGTCATATTAGGTGATGAAGAAGGACGGAATGCAGGCAAAAGGACACATGAGTCATGGAAGAGGATTGATTTAAAGGTAGTTTTTTCCTCCGAGCTTCAACTCTGCCATAATTTTTCTTTTCTTTTCTTTTCTTTTTTTTTCTGTTTTGTGGTGGAAAACGGAATAAAAATGTAGAGAAGAAAGAAAAGCGGGTGAGCTGTCAGTTTTGACATGCTGCGATTCTGTTAGGCCTTCTATTAACCTTTCTGCCCCAGGAGTGCTTGGCTTTTGATAGCTCAGTATTAGTATGTTTTCCAAACTGTCTCATTTGATTTGGAGATTACGATTTGGTCAGTGTACCAGAATTACATGGGAGAGCCGATCTCATTTTTATACTTTTATCAAGCTCGTCTTCAAGATGTCTCTGTTAATCAGAGAGATGACTGTAAGTGATGTTATGAGCTGTGTCATGTGCTGTCGTCGAGAGGAGCTGCTAGTATCTGTGTGTACTAGACAGAATACTCTCGCAAGATTTCTCTTTGGCATTTCTTCACCTTTTATCGGGATGAGCTAAACAGACACTTTTATGGTGGTGATTTTATACAAATGCTTGCTGTACCACAGGTGCCTCAGTGACAGGGGAATCAAAGAATGTCAGAGCAAGGACACCCAGTTTGGCCAGCATAAAATGAGCCCCTTGCTCCTCCACACTCTGGAATTCAGGAGCTGTTCCAGGAGTCTTCAAATATTAGGAATAGTTGAGTGCAGGTTAATCATCTGGAGTATTGGATGGTGGCAGTGACGTTGGTTTTTCAGTAGGAAGAGGATTTAAGCCATTAAATTCCCAACGGATGTTCTTTCCTTCAAATAAGATATATGGGCATCTATGGAACAGCACCTCTGTGTTGCTGCCTGACCCCAGCAGGTAACACTGTCAGCTCCCTAGATGTGGCCTGTGGTATGCATCCATCATTCTTCTCCTGACAGTGGTCTATACCGTGCGCGAGAAGGGTGGGAGAAGGGCAGTCACTGTTCTTACACCCTCCACTTCCAAGATTAGGGGGGGGGGGGGAATCTTCCCGAGAAGGAAGGCATTTAACTGTCATGCGCCAAGCCTGAGTTAATTTGTCTAAATGTGTGTTCAGAAAAATATCTGGAAACCCACAAATCCCTTCATTTTTCTTCTGCTCTTCTGCCCATCTGGCAATGGCTTGTTCTTCAATAGACTTTTCCAGAAGAAGGCTACTAAGTAGGAAGGGAGTATGGAATAGAGAGTGCCTTCTAGTTTATTTCCAAACATTTATTCTTCACCTATGATGGGAGGTATTCATCTTTTGTTCTTCTTACTATATCATTATTCGGAAAATGTGTCAATCTGGGACAAGTAGAGAACATGAAAAGACAGGGCAATTCCTGTTTAGAACATACATGTCTCTCTTGTTGAAATTTATAAGAACAAATAAGCCTAGTTAACAAATGAAAACAAAGTTGGGAGTTGGTGGCGAAAGCCTTTAATCCTAGCACTTGGGAAGCAGAAGCAGGCAGATCTCTCGGTTTGAGGCAGTCTGGTCTGCAGAGTGAGTTTCAGGGAAGAAAAGCAAGATGCTATCTCATTCTGAAAGACTTTTCAGTCCAGAAGTCAAGATCTGAGTAGCGTTGAGGTTGACTCTATAAGGCAAAAATTTTCAAGTTGGAGAGTAGTCATGCTCCGTGTGCACTTAGCTGTTCCTGCGAACGAAGACGGCATTGATAAGATTAATAAAGAACGCACTTTCTGTTCAAAGAGCTCTCCTTGTGATCCTCAAGAAAGAACAAATGGAAAGAATGAGGAGGAGTCCTGAAGACCTGAGTGGTTCCTCCTTGGTGTCTGCTCTTTCCTTATCTGTCACCATCCTGCATTAATGAGGTTACTGGGAAAACAAAAATAACCTTCTTGATAAAGGAGTTGAGAGAAGGAAAAAACAAAAAAACCAATTAGCAAAGAAGCAATCACAGTATCTGTAGAAAGATCTGATCAACCGAGAATTCAGTCAGGAACAATCCATCAGGGAGTCTGGAAGACAGGAGCTCAACGTCCTCATGAGGAAGAATGGTCACAAAAGACACAGAGAGTGGTGTTTCAGCAAAAGAGTGTTCTCCTAGGATCTTTGGGGAACAGACAGTTAGGTCAAGATGTGTTGACATTATAAACGGAGGCTTTGAAGGGACACCCATACACATAAATCTAGACCTAGAAAGTGTTAAGCAGTGTGCCTGTATTTAGGCATTCTGACTGATCTGCCACAGTCACAAGAACTCAGGGTGTGATATCAGCAGCCTCCATCCAATGCCCTACTCTTCCTCATGATGGCGATTTGTGCATCAGTGTGAAAAATACAGGATGCCGTGGGGGCCCTTCTTGTATATTTCACTGAGGGTTGGAGAAGATCTACAATATAGAGAATGCACTTTATAATCTAAGATTGAATATATTACTAATATTTCTTGCCAACTACATTGTTGATTGTTGTGGAAGGCAGCAAGTTCTAAGGGAAATGACAGTTGGCAATGGAGGGAACTTAGATATGAACAGGTGTTAAAACAGTGCTGCCATACAGGGAGAAAATGTGATGGATGATCTTCGTGAGCCATTCATTCCAAGTGCCATCTTCCATACATTTTTTTTTTAAATATGGATGTTTTATCGTGAGGGAAAGGGCAAAGTTCTTTTTTTTTTAATTTATTTATTTATTATGTATACAATATTCTGTCAGTGTGTATGTCTGCAGGCCAAAAGAGGGCACCAGACCTCATTACAGATGGTTGTGAGCCACCATGTAGTTGCTGGGAATTGAACTCAGAACCTTTGGAAGAGCAGGCAATGCTCTTAACCACTGAGCCATCTTTCCAGCCCCATCTTCCATACCTTTGTGCCTTAGTTATGCCAACTTAGAAGATCATTACTCCATCTTCATCGCCAACTTTCCATGGCCAATATTTGCTCTGATTACCACAATGATTTACAACTCTCTCTCTCTCTCTCTCTCACATACACACACACACACACACACACACACACGCACACACACACACACACACACACACATATATATATATATATATATATACATAATCATTAAAATACAATTTAAGGAAAGCTTTGCATGTTTGTCCTGGACTTGAATAACTAAAAATTAAAATAAAATAAGGCAGTAACTAAGCTATTATTTCCTGACCCAGCTCAAAGTTTGGTTTCAGTCAGTAGCTAAGCATTATCAG